ACTTCAACAATTATGAAAAAATAGAGAAATGGCTCAATGAATGGATCGCTTCGAAAGACGAATCATTTTTCCGTCATGGAATGCAACAACTACCAGACAGATGGGAAAAAATAATAGCAAGCGATGACAAATACTTTGATTCGTATATTTTCATGCTTTTTCATAATAAAGTCTTTTATTGGAAGAAAGAAACGGACCGAATTAATTTACACACCTAATAATTTGAAACCTATACACACATGTAGAAGACTATTGAAATTGTCGAAAATTTATTTTGTTGTTTACTTTATTTTGTAAATAAATGTATATTGGATATACAGGTTGCGTAAAAAGTTCACGGAGCGGCATCTATAAGTACACGGTAGAATTATAAATTGTAGTTGGTTATATAGAATCACTCTTCACATTAACCTAGGTTAGGTTTCATTTCCATCTGTTAATTCTTTCTGTGTTCACAAGCCAATTGAAATTGATGTGTCAGTATATTTGTTTGGTATGGAAAATTTGAACCAGCGTGCAGTGATTGAGTTCTTTGTTAAAAAAGGTTTAAAGGCAATGGAAATTTATTCAGAGATTTATTCAAAAATGTGTTAGGAGAATCTGCTCCTTCAAAAACAATGGTTTGTAAATGGGCACTTGAGTTTCAACGTCGTACAAGCATCGAAGATAATCCACGCAGTGGACGTCCAAAAAGCGCATCAACACCAGAAATCATTGAACAAATACATGTTATTGTTTCTGAAGATCCAAGTGTGACTACGTATGAAATTGCTCATAGCATAGGCATTTCAGATGAACGGGTACGGCATATTTTGCATAAAGAATTACAATTGAAAAAGGTGTTTGGAAAAGTGGTGCCGCATACGTTAATAATTCAACAAAAACTCGCTCGAAAGCAAATTTCTCAATGTCATTTGGATCGTTTTAAGAAGAATAAAACCGATTTTGTGCGTCGTTTTATAACTATGGATGAGACTAGAATCTATCACCATAATCCTAAACTGAAACAGGAACGTTTACAGTGGACTGAAGCTGGATGTTCAGCTACAAAGCAAACAAAGCATGAAATATCGGCAAAAAAAGTTTTGGCATCAGTTTTTTGAGATACTAAAGGGATTTTGTTAATTGACTATCTGGAAAAAGGTAAAACAATTAACTCTGAATATTATTGTAACCTTCTGGATCAACTGGACGCAAAAATTCGTGAGAAAAACCTGGTTTGCAGCACAAACAAATCATTTTTCACCAAGACAACGCACCTGCTCACAAAAGTGTTTTGTCAATGTCTAAATTCAATGAATTGAAGTACAAATTGCTTAATCATCCACCGTATTCGCCAGATTTGGCACCCAGCGACTTCTATCTGTTCAGAAACCTGAAACAATTCCTCCGTGGAAAACATTTTTTGTCGAATGAAGAAGCTATAGCAGCCGTAGAGGCATATTTCGCAGACCTACCAGAAACACACTTCCGTGATGGAATAAAATTATTGGAGAGCCATTGGGCCAAGTGTATTAAAGTTAATGGAGACTATATTGAAGAATAAAATCATTTTTAGAATTAGGTATTCTTTATTTCAGTTTCGCTCCGCGAACTTTTCACGTAACCTGTAGTTCAATTGCGCACAGTTCTATTGCCTTCTATTGCCGACAGTTCTATTGTCCACGGTTCTATTGCCCACGGTTCTATTGCCTACGTTTCTATTGCTTACGTTTTTATTGCCCACGTTTCTATTGCCCACGGGCAGATGAGATGGGGGTGGGGCAGGGATGGAGTAGAGCGCGCGTAGCGAGCCGTACTAAACACACTTGCAACTTACAAATGTAAAAGTGTGTTAACAGTGTGTTAAAGTATATACTTTTTCAAAATGAAAAAGTACATCAATCAAAATATTGTCCATCGTTAGCGATGACTTTTTCCCATCTTTCGGTCAGCAAGTGAATTCCGCGGCGAAAGAATGACTTATCTTTGTGTCTATCCAGTCAGAGACCCATTTTTCGACGTCTTCATAAGAATTGAAGCATTCGTCAGCAAGTGCGTGTGCCATCAACCGAAACAAGTGGTAATCGGAAAGGGCACAGTCTGGTGAATAAGCTGCATGAGGTAACACTTCCCAGCGAAGTGCTTCTAACGTTTCCTTGACAGATTTTGTAACGTCAACCCGAACGTTGTCATGAAGCAAAATCATTTTATGCTGTCTTGTTTCATATTTTAATTATTTTTCGTGCAATGCTCGGCTCAAACGGGTAATTTGTTCTTTGTAGAGATCCCTTGTGACTGTTTGACCACTTTTCAACAGCTTATGGTACAGCACACCCTTCTGGTCCCACCAAATACAGAGCATTGCCTTCTTTTTGTGGATATTCTGCTTTGGCGTCGATGTTGAGGATTGGCCGGGATCGCAAATAGTTTTTCGACATTTGGGGTTATCAAAATAAATCCATTTTTCATCCCCAGTGATGATACGATGTAAAAAACCCTTTCTTTGTTGCCTAGCAAGTAGAATTTCGCAACTGGTTTTTCGCCTTTCAATGTCTCTCTTGACTTCAGTTCACATGGGACCCATTTTCCTTCCTTATAAACCTTTTCTAAGGCTTTCAAACGATCGGAAATGACAGATTGAGCACAATTTAATGCTTCTGCAAATTGCTATTACATTTGACATGGGTCTTCGTCCACCGATGCCTGCAATTCTTCGTCTTCGAATACTCTTTGCCGTCCAGAACGCATTTTGTCCTCTACAGCAAAATCACCAATTTTAACCCTTTCGTTACGGCAGTCCGCTCCACTGGAGTGACGCCACTGAACGGGGCACCGCGCCACGAAGTGTGCACATTGCACGTCGGTAGTCTTCGATGTTCGCACTTACGTCTTTCAACGCCACTTTGGGATTCTCTTGTATGTACACTTTTGTAAGAGCTACGTAACAACTATTTCGTCGCATTATATGAAAAACATGAAAATGAATATATTTTATCAGTATTCAGTTATTTACATATTTATAAATTTTGCTATTATTATAAATAAAAGTACAATTTAGGGTAGTTAGACATCAAATTATAATTCTTAGTAATTTAATTCAGAATGGTAAATTCTAAAACAAGGATCGACGCAGAGACCTACATTACAATTTTTACATTCATATCTAGACTCGTGTCTTTTGTCGTTTGCCGTGCAAACGACGCACCTTCTATTTCGGTTTTTTCCTACTGGTATGTTACGTCCTAGAGGAGGAACGCAACCCTTTCGTTCGCGAGTAAGGCGAACCTCGTTCGTACACGCGTGTCAGTGAACGGGTCAAGGACCCGACGGGTCTCTTTACTCGGGCACCGACGTACGACGAGCGATCCGTTTTTCGGTCAGGGACGCGAATCCCTTTACTGGGGATAGGACCATGAGTTGACTGTTGGAAGGGTGGGGTGATTTTGAAATCAATTGGAAAAATAAAATGAAATATAAACAGATTTATTAAAATGAGTATAATAACAAAATGAATTACGGCGCGGTTAATACAATTGATGAATGACTGTGTATGTGTATGTGTGTGTGTATGAGAAGTGAAAGAAGGAGGAAATAATAAGAAAAGAGGAAGGAATATGAGTAAAGAGTTAGTAAGCAAAGAAAATGTAACTTACTGGTGATTCCTGGGATGCGAGAAATGAACAAGATATAACGGTTGATAGGCGGCTCCTGCTCTGTAGGTTGGGATGGGTTGTGCGACTCCCTTCCAATTGTCCAATTATGGCACAATAGCACTGATTCTAAACTTTTATTTTTGTCCCCAAAAAAAAATAAGACAGAGGACGTAAGAGTATGTGTAGTGCCGAAACAAAACCGAAGACGAATTTGAGTCTAAGGACGCGTTTTTACAGGTCTGACTTTTGAATCTAGAATCTAAGTGAATGTGAATCTGCTCTTTTTCCTGTCTCTCAGAATAGAAGTAATGGTAGAAGTAGAAGTAGTGTAGTGTGTCGCGGAGGCGGATTACTGCGGTTTTTATAGTGATAATCGGAGGCAGAAGCTATCAGGGTGGGTAGAGAGATGGCCTTTGAGGAAGGGGTGAATTGGTCTTAGTGGGAAAAAATCTCAGCCATTAGCAAAGTTAAAAGACATCGTGGGAGGAGACAGTTAGTTTTTGGAGATATGAATATGGAAGGGCTAAAGGGTGGAGCATGGGTGTCTCATAGTTTTAGGTGGATATATGATTGGCTGAATGAATTAGGCGCGACAAGCGTGGAGGTGGTGGATTCTTGAGATAGAGAAATGTATACAAGTGGCCGGCTGGAAAAATCAAAATGCCGTAAATCAAAGGCTGAGATCAGATTTTACGACTATCAGTGAAGTAAGCTTTGTTGGTTGACTGATAGGGTACATATGGTTTTGGATTGGGAAGATGTAAGTTTGAAGTTTTAGAGCAGGAATGCTCTGTGTTGCTTTGTTTTACTGAAGGTTTGTTAGCGCGAAGTTTCAAATTTTTATGGCTAGGACGACGGACACACTTGGCGAACACTACCCAGATATAAACTTTAAACGAAGACGTAGATTTTTACAACAGGGCACTGTTTCATATGGGATTTTCCCGAATCGCCTTTCATTTGGCGCGACGGCTGTTCGCCAGATGGGTCTGTTTCCTAATTTATATTTATATATGTATATATTCCTATTATAGTTATATTAGGAGAATATAAATCCGCGAGAGGAAAGAATTTTTACTAATTAAATCTACAGGACGTAACAGGTACATAGAGTGAAGGAAAATGTCGTTCCATTAATCGTAATGGATTATTATTGTTTGTTCGATGATGATAATTAGTATTCTTATGATATTTTTCCAGTATTTCCCGGATTAATTTCAAGTGAAACTTGGCCATAGATATGGGTTTTTGCATTTTATGTTTATACAGACAATACGCATTCCACACGCATATGTCTAGCAAATGAAAAAAAATTTCTGGTACCATTTTAGAGATTTACGTGTTGAATTTACAATGCTTATCACCATGTCTGCTTTATCGACGGTACCCATAGAATTATGGTGCAGTCCCATGGATGCGGAACCTGCAGAATGCGGAATTGGCGGAACAAACTCTGTCCAATCACAGACATTCCGTCAATTGCGTTCCGCTAAAATGGATTTTCTAATGTCCCATGGAGCGGAACTTGCAGAAGCGCAATTGGAGTTTAGCCAATCACAAGATTTTTCCCATAGATCCTTCTGTAGTATCTATCGGAATAATGTATATTATTGGCACGCACAGATTACGCTTCCGCGTTTTCCGCACCATGGGACACTGGAAAATACATTTCTGCGGAATAGAACGCAAACTTAACATAATCTGCAAAAATCTTAACCAAGAGACTTGGAGACAAACTTGGAGTCAAGAACATGGAGTCTGAAAATTTATTTGTTATAATTTCTCATTTATTAAATTTGTCAAAACAAAGTTGGTGTGTGTTAAGAAAGCAGGAGCTACGCCGCAAAATAGCAAAATTATATTTATTATATAATATTGCAAAAGACAAAGAAAATATAAAACAACGTAAATATTGGGTGCGACATATATTTAGTACGGACAGAAGATTGAAGCAAAGAGCAAGTGCAAATCTAGTGAAAGAAATGGTACTTGAAGACCACGAAAAATATATTGATTATTTTAGAATGCCACCTTATTTGAAGCGTTATTAATATTGGTCGGACCAATCATCGCAAAAAAATATATTATTCGCGAACCTATTTCGCCTGATACTCGGCTTCAAATTACACTCCGCTATCTAGCATCAGGGGATAGCATGAAATCTCTGTCATATTCCTTCAGGGTCGCACACAACACAATCTCAAAAATTATATCTGAGACTTGTGAAGTTATTTGGATTTGTTTAAAAGATACAATTTTTATAAAAGACAATGAAGAGAGTTGGGCAACTGTAGTCTACGAATTTGAACAATTATGGAACTTTCCAAATTGTATAGGAGCCATCGATGGAAAACATGTTCAAATCCAGGTATACATATTCCACATTAAAATTCCGAATTTGTTAAAACTTTATTAATAAGAGATAAAAAAGATAAAAGGCTTTGTTAAATATGAAAATATTTGTTTCATATTCAATGTACATGATATAAATTATGATGTACATGATATAAATATGATATAAAAAGACAATATGTTTTTTAACAGGCTCCAGCAAACAGCGGATCAACGTATTACAACTACAAAAGTCATCATAGCATTAATCTTT